TATGTTAAATACAAGTTTTTGAGTAAATTCCAAATCTTAGAAGAACCACTATTAAACTCATTTCCCAATGTCAAAATGTTACTATATTCTATCACTCTTTTAAATAAAGTCTCTTTGATAAATGAATTACACTATGGATCATTTTCTTGTTATTGGTGGCAGTCTTCTGATAATGGAAAGTATTTCCTATTCATGTTGGACAAAGAACAAGAACCCATTTGAATGAACATGATTTTTATGTTGAAATAGTGCATGGAAATAAAGAAAGCTCTCATCTTCCTGGCTATATTTTGAAACTGGGACTATATGTAGTATTAAAGAAACCAATCCTACTAATGCAATTTCTAAAATATATCAACAAGTGTGCAAGGAAGTGACAACTAAATTTTCTATAGGGAATTATGGGTTGGAATGACAAAGAAATTGTTGTAAGGTTTCAGTAATTGATACATTTTGTCCTTTTTATATTTCTCTAGATGAATTGAAAATTTTCATCCATTCACTTGAAGTTCTTCTTAAAAAATGGAGGGACCGGTTATCAATCATCACTTATTTATATGTATAAACAAAAGGATTCATTATTTGTTTCAACAATAGAAAATGATGCCTGCACTATTGAAATTACAAGCTCATAGATTCCTTTGAAGGTACATTTCCAATTTTAAATTTGGAAAAAAACTAGCTATATGCAAAAATTGATGGCTATCAGCTCTTTAGTTTAGATGGTCCTATTGTTCAAGGTTTAATTGGGAATCAAAAAGTTCCAAAATATACACAGATGAATGAGGTAATTTTTCACTTATAAAAATCTTTGACTACCACATATGTGCTAACAGTAGTTTCATTAACAAATGGATCAAATTTAAGAAGTTGGAAGCAACCATGTGACAAACCTTTGAAATAATCTAATAAATTAAAATTGTACTACTCGAAAATGTATTTAAAGGGTTGGTTTTCAACTTGGTTGAAGAATAACTCTCTTCCTAACTCTTCTCTTGACCATATCTCTCAACATAATCAAAATAACCCTAATATAACGAATGTTGAAATGATTGCAAATGCGACCAATTTAAGATATACGATCAAGACAAAACATGAACGATGTATGAAAAAATCAAACAAATTTATTTAATAAAACAAAATTTACAACTCAAAAAAATTTTTTTTTGCATATAATAAAATTCCATTATTAACTATTAACAATCTAATTATATAGATCTTGTCCGATCAAACCCGCCTATATAGTTATTGAATAATTGATAATAATAAAATGTCAATTAAATATATTTTACAAACAGCTTCGTAGATCTCGACTTTTAAGACTTACTTTGACCAAACTCGCCTATAATAATAAACGTCCATTTTGGAAACTTGATTTGCAAATAGATCTTGACTTTAACACTTACTTCTACCAAGCCTGTCTATATAATTATTTAATAATTGATAAAGCGCTGATTAAATATATTTTACAAACAGATTCATTCATAGATCTTGACTTTTAACCATACATGATGGCGAAATAGTTTTGTTTCGACAATAATTTCAACGATTAGGGTTCAAAAATTTCGAATATACCCTAACAGGTTTCGAAAAATCAAAATTCGAAATCAAAATCGAAATTTGTAATCAAAATTCGAAATTCGAAATTAATAAATAACTTTTTTTCATTTTTGCATTAATGTCTTTAAAGTGCTTTTATTTCAATTTTTTGAATTTCGATTTTGATTTTGAATTTAGATTTCGATTTTGAATTTAGATTTCGATTTTGGATTTCGATTTTGATTTTAGATTTTGATTTTAATTTCGCCAAGGGTATTTCGATTTCGAAAACTTGTGTGATTTTTTCGAAAGTTTCGAATTTTATCAAATGACTTTCGCCATCATGTATGCTTTTAACACTTATTTCGATACAAGCTATTCAATAATTGATAAACGTTCATCAATATATTTTACAAACTTGCTTTGGAAGTTTCGTA